GACGCGGGCCTCTCACTGTTGTGGCCTCTCCCGTTGCGGAGCACAGGCTCCGGACGCGCAGGCCCAGCAGCCATGGCTCACGGACCCAGCCGCTCTGCAGCATGTGGGATCTTCCCGGACTGGGGCACGAACCCATGTCCCCTGCATCGGCAGGCGGACTCTCAACCACTGCGCCACCAGGGAAGCCCGAGGCCTAACTTTTGATTTAAAGTGAGAGACATGCAACTCTTCCTTTCACTTGAACCCTTAGGAGCCACTGTAAGGTTACTAATTGGCCTGATTTCAATTTCATTGTGTCTCAGGGAATAGGCCTGAGGAAAGGGAGTGAGACAAGAGAATGGCCAGTTAGTGGAGCAATCAAAACACACATTTATAGATGCATTAAGTTTGCTTTTATGGCCTCCGTTTGTGGTACCCCAAAATAATTACAATAGTAACATCAAAGATCACTGATCATGGATCACCATAACAAATATAATAATAATGAAAATGTGTGTAATGTTGCAAGAATTAGCCAAATGTGACAGACATGAAGTGAGAAAATTCTGCTGGAAAAGTGACGCTAATAGACTTGCTCTACGCAGGATTGCCATAAACCTTCAATTTGTAAAAAATGTAGTATCTGCGAAGCACAGTAAAACAAAGCAGTATGCCTGTAGTAGTCATTCATTGTTCAGTAAACATTCTGTGTACTCAAGGCTGGAAATTAGTAATCACAATAAACCCTGATACCTTGTGGAAAAGAGAACCACCAGGGAAAGAGAGAATGAGGCTCAAAGCAGTGTTTTCCTAGGAGAATCAGTATTTAAGGTTTTCACAACCAGTTTATGCTTCTTGGTTCATTCCCCCATTTAAGGGCCATGGGGAAAATATCCAAAATGCTTATAAGGAAAAATGAGTTTGCAGATTGTGTCTTCTTTCACATAGGTGATTTTTTGCCATCATCTAGCTGTGTGAGAGCCCGAGAAAGAAGGGAACTAAATATTCATTCTTCAGAGTTGCTGACTGAGGAACTAATTGCTAGGAAGTGCCACAAATACGCAAGGCCAAATTGCTTTTTAAGTGTGATAGTTGTGGTAACTGAAAAATCTAGAAGCAATGCAAATATCAAAATGATTTACATTTGGTCCATCCACTCTGGACTATTATGCAGTCGTTAAGAATACTCAGAAAGACTGTAGCAACATGAAAAAAGGCCATGATACGTTAACAGGGGAAAAAAAGCAGGTTATACATTAGATAGAAGAGAAGTGAAGAGTAAAAGACGTCACGTACAAAATTTAAAAGCTATGAAGAATCCTTTTACTTATTCATTGAACAAACATTTATTAATCACCTTACATCCCAGGCACCAGGTCAAAAAGAAAAGGTTCCTGTAGAAGAAATTAGTTTGGAACAACAGATTTAACAGGATAGAATAACATTACCCTTTCTCACAAAGAGCCACGGTGCTCACACCTTTCTTTTTTGGTTTAGGTTGTCTCTTCCTCTGTTTCTACAGTTATTTTAACGTAGCAGTAATTTACAATTGCTGCTGCGAAGTTCACCTCTGATTCTTCGTCCTCCTGCTGTTGACGTCTCCGTTTACCGCGTTCCTGCCAGTGTGTGCCCGGTGCGGTGGAGGAGGGGTAAGACCTGACGTCCCAGCCCGGCAGGGCCTCTCCATCTCGCAGCAGGGAAGACAAATGGCTCTAATCCAAGCCTGACTTTGGTAAGTGTCCAAGGGTAAGGCGTTACATTAGAAGGCAAGAAGCGGTCTGGGAGTGTCGAGGCGTTTTACCAGGACCTTGCCGGGAAGGAAAGCAAGGCCGGGTAACGGGACAAGGTGGGCAGGCGGCTGAGGCAGCGAGTGCAGCGCGAGGTGGGAGGGGAGGCGCGCGCGCCTTGGGCTGGCCCCGCCCCCCGGAGGCGGGCTTTGCGCGCTGATTGGCCCGCGCCGGCCTCGCTCCGGGTTGGCGGGAGGTCTCCGAGCCCGCAGTGCCGCGGTGGAGTAACCTGAGAGCAACCGTCAGAGGCCTGGGGCGTCTGGGGAAGGCTGCGCGCCGGCCCGGCCCCGGCTCACTAGCCTCGGTTTTCCGCAGGTACTCTCCGCTCGCGCCCTGGCTTCGGGCCTCGCCGGCAACTCTCCAGTTTTGGTTGTGCCTGGTTCCTCCGTCCCCTCTCTCCCCCAACGACGCCACCCTCAGTGTGTGAGGTAGCGGCGGCGTCTTGGCCCCTTCCGCCCGTGAGTTCCCTGCCTCAGGTGCCGGCGGGGAGGAGGGGCGTCGCGGTCGTACGGCGCCTACCGGCGCAGGGCCGTGGGGCCGGGGACGGAGGCGAAGTAGAAAGAGGGAGGCGGGGCGCCCCCCTCGGCCGGGTTTGTCGGGCTTCGCCGGCACAGTGCTCTTTGGCTCAGTTGGTCGTGCTCACTAGTGGGCGGGGGAGGGGAGGGGACAAAGGGGTTGGGGGGAGATGCGTCCCCAAGTACTAGCCGTGCCCTCTCCTCAGCGGGCGCTCCCCTCCTCGGGAAGGAAGGCGCTTAGGAAAGGGCTCGTGCCTTCCCGCAGCACGCCCGCCCGCCTGCCTGTTCCCTGCTGGGCGCCGGATGGTGGTATTTTGAGTTCGTCCTGCCTCTTCTCGCGTCCCATTAAACACATCTTTTTTTCGCAGGAGCATCTGCACCAGAATCCTGAGACCTGAGCTGCTGTATCTCGGTGCTATGCCCTTGGCCCATTTATCAAAATTTACTAATGTCCCTTTCTTACATTTCCAGTACGACTGGAGGCCAACTAGCTTCTATTAAAAAATAAATAAATAAAAAAACTTTAGAAGTAATTTAACATTTAAAGACTGATAAACCCATGCTATGTTAAAATTGAGATCCTGTCTCTACAAATTTTATTCTTTATCATGAGCACATTAAAAAAAATACCTATGGTCTCTGTTACCAATAAAATTTTAACATTTAATTTACGTGTACTAGTTGAGGTGAAATTTGGTTTTCTGTCATATTGGGACTCTTCTTTCTTTCGAAGACACCCATCCTGTAAAAAAGATACAATAATAGTGCTGCCATGTATTGAGATTTTGCTAAGCATTCAGCACTGTGCATTATCCATATAGTTCCTTTCCTCACTAAGCCTACAAAATATGTATTATTAACAATGCCTAGTAAGTAACTTTAATTGAATACTTACTATGTACCAGGTTCTAAAAAAAATAGCTGCTTTTATTATCTCAATATCACAAGTGAGAAAATGGAGGCTCCCAGAAGTTAAATAGCCTAAGACTCAATCGCTAGTGAGAATCAGGTCTTAATCCAGGTCTATTCTCCAGTATTTTAACGTATATTCTCAGGTGGCTCTGTCCCTCTGCCTTCTGTCGTGCTGAAAAATCCTCTGTCTTAAAAAAAAATTCTTGGGAATTCTCCTGCGGTCCAGTGGTTAGGAATCGTTGCTTTCACTGCCAGGGCCCGTGTTGGATCCCTGGTCGGGGAAATGGGATCGGCAAGCCGCGCGGCCGGCCAAACTTAAAAAATACTAATAATAATTTGACTGTTGTCATTCTTTTAGTATGTCTAAATGAAGAGCAAAAATAGAAGTTACCTCAAGTTGGAATTTGACCAAAATGTTGCATTGATAGCTTCTCTCCTTAAGGTCCTTCTCCATAACCCTCCTGCCAGTGTTTGGTTATTAATCTCAGTGAATCTCTATTTGAGGAATTTCCTCCTCTTTCTGTTTTCTCAAATTTTATATGAAGCAGAATAATGTAAAACATATTTATTTTTTTGATTGATAGAAAACTTGCATTCTATTTCATGATATATCCAAGGTTGTTTTAACAAAGCAACACTTTTAAGTTACTTAACATTAAGTAACGTTAAGTAAAACTGACATCCTGGGAGATATGCCACAACTATTCTATATTCTGGCACATCTGTCCCACACTCCCCCAAGCCTGCCCCCACACCCCAATGTGAGAAGCCTGACTATTTAGTTTTTTCCATCTAGATTTGTAAGGTTGCTCTTTCTTTGAGGGGAAAAAAAAAAAAAAAGATGCAGATGAGACCTCCAGCTGTCTCCCAGATGAGGTGGGCAGGAAGTAGCAAAACGTTCTTAACTCAAGTCTCAAGGCACAATTAATCACCCATTCCTTTTTCTATGGAGTTTGTAGCACTCCCCGACCCTCAACTCCATAATTGCCTTCGACTTGCTTGGACCTTAGGATCTAGGAAGAAAGATGAGAGGAGAGGAGGGAAGCAAAATAGAGGGAGGAGAAGCAATTATAGAATTAATTTAATATAATTTACTCTGCCTAGTTCTTCATAATCTAGCCCTGTACTGTCTAATATGTGGCTGTTGAGCAGTTGAAATGTGGCTGGTGCAACTGAAGAATTTTTACTGCAACTGAAGAATTGAATTTTTACTTTTATTTAATTTAAAATTAAATACTGAAGGAGTGTAAAATATTTTTCCCTTATGTACCACATCATTGTTTTGGTAAGACTACATTTCACTTTAACTGTTGGAAATTTAGCATCTAAAATTCAGATACACTATAAGTGTAAACACCAGATTTCAAAGACTTAGTGTGAAAAAAAGAATGTAAAGTATCTCATTAGTTTTTATATTGATTACATGTTAAAATGATATTTTGGATATACTAGGTTACATAAAATACATTCCTAAAATTAAATTCACTTGCTTATTTGTACTTTTTAAATGTAGCTTTAGAAATATAAAGTGACTCACATTATATTGGACAGTGCTGATCTAGCCCCACTATATCCAATCTTATTTTCCATTCCTTCCTTCAGCAGGGAAGTTGCTGAGGGTCAGGAAGGAGAATCTGTACCTGACTCCTTGAACATCAAGGGAGGCATGGCTGCCTGGGTCACTGTGAGTTATGGATTCAGAGGTTCTCATTAGGGTCTTAGAGTAGTTTCCTGCTTTGGCTATTCATAACTACATTTCCTATTACCCTATAAGTACTTTGACCGTAAAAGTAATGCTAACTAGTAATCACGTGAACTAATTACCACCAAACATGGTAATGATTATGCATATTGTTACATATTGATGGATTAACTTTGTTTCAATTTTTATTAGTCTATAACAGTTTACATTCATTCACACTGGTAATTGGCCACTCAAATAGCATAGTCATATACTCACAACTTTAGAAATTAAAGTGACCCTACCAAATGTAAAATAGATAGCTAGGGGGAAGCAGCCACATAGCACAGGGAGATGAGCTCGGTGCTTTGTGACCACCTAGAGGGGTGGGATAGGGAAGGTGGGAGGGAGACGCAAGAGGGAGGAGATATGGGGATATATGTATATGTATAGCTGATTCACTTTGTTATAAAGCAGAAACTAACACACCACTGTAAAGCAATTATACTCCAATAAAGATGGTAAAAAAAGAAGATATTAAAGTGACCAATTTATGAGAATCCCTCAATGCACTTTATACCATGCATTTCTTTGCTAGAATTGTATTTAACTTTTCAATAAATAACAATCAATGCTTGTTGAATCAGTGAGTTCTATAACATATCAAGGAATTAACCAGTTAGAAAATATGCTTTTTTGTGTGTGAGATTGCTTTTTAATATAATAATTGATGTTGATAATAATTTAGTTCTGGAAGTAGTTTGCCTTATTGTATAAAAACTTTGACCTAATAATATGATAAAATTGTCAATACAAGCAGAATAAAAATTATCAGGAAAAAAGAATACCACAAATAGATTATAAACTCAGCATAGTTTCTATAATTTAAAATTTGGTTTTGAGTTCCCTAGTAGTCAAAGCAAAATAGTATGCAGGATCTTATTATTTGGGAAGAGAAGGCATATCAGTTACTCAAAGGAAGCATAGCTTTTCTTGGTACTAAATTCTAAAAGCAGTTTCTCATGTGAGTCATTGTCATAACTAACATTTTAGTAGCAAGTTCAGTAACATTTCCTATGACGGCATCTGATAGTGTCATCCAATCTGTTGTTTTTATATAGAAGTGAACAAGAGTGTGATAAATAACTGTGTGTTTTATTTTTACAGGAATTGTGGGAAACCAAAATGAGGCATAATCAGCTATGTTGTGAGACACCACCTACTGTCACTGTACATGTAAAATCAGAGTCAAATAGATCACATCAGCCTAAAAAACCCATTAACCTGAAGCGTCCTATTTTTAAAGATTGTTGGCCAGCATCTGAAAAAAATGCACATAATAGCGACAAGTCTAAACGCCCCAAAGGACCCTGTCTAGTTATACAGCGTCAGGAAATGACTGCTTTCTTTAAATTATTCGGTAGGTTTAAAATATTGTAATAGGGGTAATTATAGAGTACTTAAAAATAAGAATATAAGATCTATTTTATCATTTTTATAATAAAGAGGATACTGTTATTTTCTATGTCAGGTTTTCTATCTCCAACCAAATCTGCCTTTTGTTTTCCTTAGTCCTTTTTTTTTTCCCCCTCAATGCTGGATTTTTGTTTGTTTTGATTACTTTTAGAGTAGAAATTCATCATCTAGCTTTTAGACTACTTAAATTCAAGTGTCAAATGTAAATTCTGGGCAGTTCAAGGTCATAGCATGAGTCTTGTTTGACCTAAAGTATAAATACTACATAAAGTCTCAGGTGAGCCAACTGACCCAGTGTCACTGGGCCTGAGGGGTTTCCCAGGACTTTCAGTGCTGAAACTGAGCAAACTGGCAAGGTTAGTCAACCTAGAGCAGTTTCAGTATTATATCTGGGGAATATTATTAAAAATTAACTATGTTTATCATCATGCTCATATAATGAAATTGAGTTTGAATTTGTTCAGATCATGAAACAGTGCTACTTTGCTAATAAGCTTCTTAAACATAGCCAAAAAGAAACTTCTTTATAGTACTTCTACTGGCCAAGAAAGAGGATTGGTTTTTGTTTTTTGAGGTAAGGCAGTAAGGTAGATGGAATAAAGGGTTGGATAGATGGGTTCTGGTAAGTATCTGCGGGACTGAATCAAATCAAGTAGCTATCACAGTCTGGTAGATCCAGGTAACAGCCTTCCTTGCTTATAGAGGAAAGCATATGCATAAAGGAGGAGAGAGTTGGGGACAAGAGTGTTTGCCCTGCTGAGAGGACAGAAATCTTTAAAAAAAAAAAAAAGGGCAAGCTGGTTAAGATTTAAAGAAAAGCAAAATAAGATAATAGAAGACAAAATGTAAATAATACTGGTAGAAAATGTTGAACTATAAAGATGTTCCTTGTCAGGATCCAGAATGCTGTTAATAAAAGTTTCCCTCTCTCTTTATTAAGAGTAGAGTGAAGTTATTACCCACAAACTTTATTATTATTCGTAACTGAATGTGAGAAATAAGAGAAAATACATGGCTTTACCATTTTAGGTAATTTAAGAAATAGAAATGGAATTAACAAGGCAGAAATTAATTATTCTCAAAAAAGCAGTACTTATACTTGGAACTTTCCATTTATTTGACTACATTGATGATATTTCTAGGATATAACAAGAAGTTATGCTTATTTAACTTAAAATGCAGGGGGAAATGGAAAAAAGTAGATCTTTCTCAAATTATATTCTGACAGCTACCCATATATTTTAGCCTTTTAAAATTGAAATGAGTGTTTCTGACCTATTTTTTGGATGTTATTCATTTTTTAACAGTATGTTTGTTGATCTTTTTGTCATACTCAGTTTTTTCCAAAATTAAATGTTAGTTATAAATAACTAATGAATTATGAATCTCCTTTACATAGATATTTTCATGTGTATTTGGATAATAGATAATTGGACAGAGATAAGTAGAAGAGAAAACTCAAAACTAAAAATACCCCGTACCTAAAAGGAGAAAGTAGTTAAAAAAAAAAAAAAGTAAAACATATTTAGAAAACAGAGTATTCATTGAGTCATTATGTCTTAAAGACTTATCTTTTATCAGATTCCATTTCCACCTGTTAAAGATTGATTTTGGAAAACAACAAAGGCTCATCTAGAGCTACCCAAGACATATTTCTAAAAGAGCTATAGAAATATTCAATAAATCAAACAGTTCTATCATTCTTCCTCCAGTCTGGGCTATATATTAAGGCAAATCAGATGGGAAGCCAAAGAATAAAGCAGTAGCTTTTTGTACGGCGCTTGCAATGGCAAACACACTAAAGAACTGAAAACTACACCTTGGACAACCCTGGTCCTGCCATTTTTGTTTGATTTCTAAGCATCATTTGTCATCTCCTTATGTAAAAATTAATTCTTCAAAAGGAAAGCACCTGTTTTCAAAAGACAAGTCATAGCTATCTTTTGTTGTAGATGACGACTTAATTCAAGATTTCTTGTGGATGGACTGCTGCTGTAAAATTGCAGACAAGGTAAATTTGTTAACAGTATAATCATTAACCAGCATTATTATGTTACTAGGCTATCAGGACTTTCATGAACCTTATTAGGATTTTCTATCTTATTAATTAAGGTTAGGAAAAGAACTAGCCTACATTGCTCCTTCAAAGTGGAATCCATTAGCATACAACATAGATTCATTCTATCTATACTTGAGGCATTGTGAAATATTGATTAAATGACCTTAAACCCATATCTGTTTGATTTAAAACAAGAATCAATATAGACTTAATATGTTCTTTGTTTGGGTGGTTGGGGGGTTTTTTGTTTTGTTTTGTTTTTTTAATTGAAATTTAGTTGATGCATATCAGTTACAGGTGTACACTAGAATGATTGAAAATTTTTAAAGGTTATACTCCATTTATAGTTATAAAATATTGGCTATATTAGGCTTAATATGTTTTGATCAGAATTATTACTTTTTATCAGGTAATAATATCTGAGATTCATTCCACTAAGGCAGTCTGTTACACATTTTAATATTTTGTAGATAATTTAGATAAAACAGATCCCAATAATCTTGTAGAGTAAAATTAGTTTATCATGTTCTTTATTTAGGAATCAGTGTTTCATAAAAGAACATCATGATGCTGACTTATATACTAGGGATTGTGATGTTTCTATACTATTTATGTTTAGCTGATCAGTTAGAATTTCAGCTTTATAAATGTCATCTTAGACCAGTTAGTCATATCAGAAAATTCAGCATGACTTCGTATTACATTTAAAATAACATGCTATGGGACTTCCCTGGTGCCACAGTGGTTAAGAATCGCCTGCAATGCAGGAGACATGGGTTTGATCCCTGGTCCGGGAAGATCCCACATGCTGCGGAGCATCTGGGCCCATGTGCCACAACTGCTGGGCCTGCGCTCTGGAGCCCGCGAGACACAACTACTGAGCCTGCATGCTGCAACTGCTGAGGCCTGCATGCCTGGAGCCCGTGCTCTGCAACGGGAGGGGCCGCCGCAGTGAGAGGCCCGCGCACCACAATGAAGCGTAGCCCCCCCACGCTGCAACTAGAGAAAGCCGGCACGCAGCAACGAAGACCCAAAGCAGCCATAAATAAATAAATAAATAAATAAATAAAGTGCCAACCAACAGAAAAGGGAATGAACAGAAGACTAGCTCATGATTAAATACCCACTAATTTCATATTGATGTGAACTCTTATTTTAAGCTTAAGATAAAAATAAAATCAGAGGGTTTTTTTAATTTTGAAAATTTTTAGAAAATTTCAAACATACAACTTATAGTAGAGAGAATAGAACAAAGACCCTCCATGTGCCTGTCATCCAGCTAAAACAATGATCAACTCATGGCCATTCTTATTTCTTCTAATCTCTCTCCCCAAACGTGGATTATTTTGAAGCAAATCCCAGACATCCTAACATTTTATCCATAAATATTTAAAGATGTACTTCTAAAAGGTGAGATCTTTTTAAACATAATCAGTGTCACTGATGCTTTTAAAAATTGACAGTAATGCCTTAATGTAAAATATCCAGTTCATGTGGAGTTCTAAAGTTTAAAATGTTACAATTTTAAGCACCTTACAGTAATTAAAGTTGTTGGACAGCAGGGGGCAGTGCCTTTAAAGTAGCCAGGAGTACTGTATCTTAACACTCAATATATCAAGAATCCTCTACTGAAAGTTACCTTGAAAATTTGGAATCACCTTTGTGGCCAAACCTGTGAAGGTAGCATGAATTAGGCATTTTATGAAAGGGAGTCTATTATCAATATATCAGTATCATAACTTGTTTTTAACTTGAACAGGCAGAACCTGGCATGGGTCCTCATAGCAGGCTAGACATATGTCTTCCTAATAGTACATTTAAAACACTTTTATTCCAGTGAAAATAGAGCCATGTTGTTCTAATTTCTGGTTAGAAGTTATTTTTCAAAAATTATTTTCAAAAGTGAGTATGGATGTCTGCAACTAACTCAAAGGGTTGAGGGGAAAAATTTTTGCATATACACATACATCAAGCCAGTGAAGGATGTATGGTTATTCACTTGATTATTATTTCAGCTTCTCTATAGGTCTGAATAGATGGTAATAATAAAATTTAGAGGTTAAAATTATAATTATAAAATTATAATTTAATCATAAATGATCCAGAACTATTTCTCACTGTTCATATGGATTAAAGAAAGCCAAAAAATATGGACTCAAATAAATAGCTAATTCTATAATAAGGATAAATAATGCTTTATTTTAGCTTATAAACATAACTATTTTAAAGCAGTTTTACTATGAAAGCAAAACATTAATATTAACTTTTAACTTTTTTCCCTATAGTATCTTTTGGCTATGACCTTTGTTTATTTCAAGAGAGCTAAATTTACTATAAATGAGCATACCAGGATAAATTTCTTTATTGCTCTGTAAGTATGCTTTCTACTAAGTGATTTTTGTGCTAGTTATTTATAATATATACAATACCTTATTTAAAATAGAGGCTGTTTAAAACCTGATGTATATCTTTGAATAGGCCTTCCTGTTTAAAAGCTATATGTTTTTTTACTTTAATAGGATATTCTTATGTTCTTTTCACTGGTCTTATCCTGCCATATGCCTAACATTTATTATTCAGTATTCCACTTGAGTTTGTATTGTACCTTTCACATTTCCATAATTTATATAGTGTTCCACATAAATTATCCCAAATTTTCCTCTTTTGGACTTAGAGATTTTTTTAAAAGCCAGAATATTCTCTTTGAAATTTAATGTATAGTAAAAATTATCATTATTGCCCTTTTACACTGAACAGCTTGTGGAAAATGCTCTAGACATCTCAATATCAAAACCTTTTCTACCTAGTACCTGGATATAATGCTGCAGTTTGGAATATATGAATATAATTTTAAGTACCTAACTAGGGAACTACATATAAAAATATTTAAGTTGAATACCACAACAACCGTTAGCACTGAAGAATTTATTTAAAGTCTGTTTAATTCAGAATCAAAGAGTGATTCAAGAAATAGGACTAGAAGAAATTATCTCTGCATGTTTTCAGCAAACACATTCCCCCATGCATAGGAAAATATGAACTCAATATAAAATTTGAGTTGATGATTGCTAAATGGGGGGGAAATATTATAGTATTAGCTAATATTGATATCATGTGCAAGGTACCACAAAAATGTTTTCTATAAACTCGTCTAATCTTCCCTATGAGATACATTTTTTTTAATTATCTCCATTTTACAGATGGGGAAATTGAAACTGAGGAAGATTAAGTACTTTCCAAGGTCACAAAAGTTAATCAGCAAATTCAGGTGTGACTTGCCAATGGCCAAATTCAGCCATTTAACACTAAGCTGCTGTTTACATGTCTCTTAGTATTATATCTGTATGTTGATGCAATATCTATTTTATAGTTTTTTTCTCACGTGAAAATTGAAAACAAACCAAAAGAAACTTTATTTAAATCTTACCAGGTGCCCCAAATTGGATTTGACAAGTTTTGTAATGTTATTACCAGCAAAGCACTGTGTTAGCTTACACTGTGTAGTAGCATGTCAGGTTGCGTTGCATGTTGTATTATAAGCTCCATATGAAAAGTAGCATGAATTATAATTTACATTTTTATATCTAATCATTCTTTTGATACAACCTCACTCAATAGTTCTCATTAAATATTTTCTCAGCCATGGTTCTAACTCAACTCCTTTTCCTTTCTATATATTCTTATAACACTCTGAACTTCTGTTATCATTTTCCTTTATTCTCTTTCAGTTATGTATTTATTTCATACTTGATTGCCTTTTCTACTTGACTGTAGACTCCTTAAGGGCAAGGAATGTGTATCTTAACTTTTTTTGCATACTTCAGTGGCTGACATAGGAGGTTCTTAATTCTTTATTTGAATAAACATAATTAACCCTATGCAAAAGAAATGGACTCTGCTCCAAGAAAAATCTATTTCAAATTAGAAGACAACTTACATGTGTAAGAGACAGATATTTCATTACCTTGAGGCTGAAAAATTGTTAATATAGAGTAGAATAATAATGTGGTCCTGATACTGGAGTACCATAGTCCATTATAGATTTTTCATAATCTGCAAGCATGAAAGGGGCCAACCTCCAGCTCTATCTACAGTTTACTAAGAACTCTCAGGGATACTTAAGTGAGAAATTACTTTATGTAATTTCACAAAGGACATGATTTGACTCATAAAACTGAATGGGTTTAACAATGAGGTGCTTTATAATAAGGTAATATATATATATATAATGTAATATAAGGTAATATTAAAATAGTTATTTTAAGGGAGGATAAAAATATGTACGTACTCATTTTATATTAATGTAACTAAATATGAATATGCACATGGTTAAAAAAATATATAGGAGGGTATACAATTAAAAGTAAGTCTTGGGGGCTTCCCTGGTGGCGCGGTGGTTGAGAGTCCGCCTACCGATGCAGGGGACACGGGTTCGTGCCCCAGTCCGGGAGGATCCCACATGCTGCGGAGTGGCTGGGCCCGTGAGCCATGGCCACTGAGCCTGCGCGTCCGGAGCCTGTGCTCCGCAACGGGAGAGGCCACAACAGTGAAAGGCCCGCCTACCGCAAAAAAAAAAAAAAAAAAAAGTAAGTCTTCCTCATATCTCAAGACCTTGACCTCCCTCCTCAAGGACAGTTAACAGTTTCATATGTATGTGTTTAGAATAATTTTCTATATATGAACCAGTGTGTATATTACATGAATAGAGATGTACTATACACTTCTGTGCCTTTAAAATTTTTTTAATGTGAAATATTTAGAAAAGAGTATATGGAATGTATACGTATGTGTGTGTAAAAGAATAGAAGCAAAACAAATACTCATGTACCCATGACTCAAGAATAGAACATTGCCAGAATCTTAGAAACTCCCAGCACACAGTTTCCCAATTAGAGCCCCCTCCCTTCCACAAGTAATCATTTTCTTACTTTTCTTTATTCTACGTATATACCTCTAAATAATATATTATTTGGTTATTCCTATTTGGGGGCTATATAATAATTATACACCATAATTGCTATTATCATTCTTCTGTAACTTTCTTCTTTTGCTTTTTAATATTATTTTGAGATTCATTTCTATTGATACATGTAGCTATAGTTCATTTCATTTTCACTGCAGAATAATATTCTATTTTCTTATATATTTGCATTTTTTCCTACCATCTTGTTGTGTATTTTGTGTATGTCCCATTTTTTTCTTTCTTCTTTCCCCTCCATTTTAATCTTCTTTTTTGATTGAGATTTTAATATTTTTAGTTTTGACACCTTTTTTTCCTCTACACGTTTGGAAATCTCACATTCTATATCTATTCTTTTAGCAATTGCCCTAGTTATTTTTAATTGCAAGACCCTTAAGCATTTTAACTCTAATCACTCTTCCCAACTTCTGTTCTCTTGTTTTGCAATTCTATTAGTTCTACCTGATGCCCTCCAAAATGTTAGGCATTATTATTGTTGTTTTATAAATTCAACATTTGTTTAGATTTGCCCATATATCTATATATCTTTGATTACTATTCCTTCTTGCATCTCAAACCTTCCACTTGGGATCATTTGCCTTCCTTTCTGATTGCTTTTAAGACCCCCTTTTCTTGGGTGTTTGTCTCTTAATTCCAGTATCTTCACACTTCAGGGACTGTTTCTGTTCATGGTGCCTTGTTCCCTTGTATGTTTTGTAATTTTTTTTTATTGTGAGTCGCCTGTTTTTCTTAGAAAGTCATCTATGGAGCTTGCATTGTTTCCAGTGGGAAATCTGCTCCATCCTTATCTCTGTTCCTGTGTTATCTAACATGTCTTATTTTTTTTCTCTGACTGCTTTTAAGATTTTCTCTTTATTACTGGTCCTAAGTAATTAATTATGATATGCCTTAGTATAATTTTCTTCATGTTTTGTGCTTTGGAGTTCACTGAGATTCTTTGTGGGTTTATAGTTTTCATCAAATTTTGAAAATTTTCAGTCATTATTTCTTCAAATGTTTTTTCTATCCAGCCACCACCCTTTAGGGATTGCAATTTCACCTTTATTAGGCTGCTTAAAGTTGTCTCACAGCTTATTGATGCTCTGTTCATTATTTTTGTTTCCTTTTCTCTGTGTTTCATTTTAGATAGTTTATATTTGCTATGTCTTCAATGCACAATTCTTTTCCTCTGCAAAATTTAATCTGCTGTTAACCCCACTCAATGTAGTTTTCATTGTACACATAGTTTTCGTCTCTAGAGGTATACTTTCAATGTGTCTAATCTTTTTGAACATCTGGAATAATTATAACTGTTTTAGTATCCTTGTCTGTTACTTCTATCATGTGGGTCAGTTTTGATTGACTGATGATTCTTCTTATCTGTCCGGTTTTCCTGCTTTTTATGCATGCCTGATTCCCCCTCAGGTATTTGACTGTAGGGAAAGACCGTAAGAATAGAGGGAACACAGTGACTAACATTCACCCAGGGCTGGAAATAGTGCCTGTTCCCACCAGCCAGACTGAAAAAACTTATAATTCACACTGAGTAATTAAGTACTGAGTACAGTACTCAGGAACATCTTGCCTTAGTGGGGAGAAATTAGCCCTAGACTGAACATTGCTCCAGATCCACCTAACAAATCATGAAAGCAAGACTTGAAAGGATCAGACCGTTTCCATATAACTGCATCCCAGAGCAAAGCTCAAGATTGATAGGAATATAAAAGTATCCAGAACTCAACAAGGTAAAATTCACTGTATCTCTATTTTTGATCTACCTTTCTTTAATCATGCATAAGGTTGAACATCTTTTTTGTGTTTATAAAAAGTTGGGGTGTGTGTGTGTGTGTGTGTGTGTGTGTGTGTGTGTGTGAACTGTCTGTTCCTGTCCTTTACCCATTTCTTTTTTGAGTTGTTGGTCTTCTTTGCTAGGTATCTGGCCAATACAGTTGAAGAAGATGAAGAAGAATCCAAATATGAAATTTTTCCATGGGCTTTAGGGAAAAACTGGAGAAAATTATTCCCTGATTTCTTAAAGTTAAGGGACAAACTCTGGGATAGAATTGACTATAGGGCTATTGTAAGCCGGCGATGCTGTGAGGAGGTAAGATTTTTACATGCGTTATATATATAATCTCTGTCTTCTCTTTATGTAGTTTTCCTTTTATGTTTTTTAATGTGCTTCTAATGTTTCACTTTTTTTTTGTATATGAAGGGTAAACCATTAACCTTGATGATTACCATGAGTACAACTTTTATATTACAATGTTGATATTTTAATTTTATACCACAATAATTAAAAATTGTCATTTCTGTTTTTCAGAGCAGCCTACTTCTGTAGAAAGTATTTTTATTTTAGAGTGTTTCTCTAAAAAGGTCACCAGTATATTGGGAAAGAATAGCGTGCACATTCCAAAATACATCATGGTAATAACACTGGAGCTGAATAATAATTTCCATTAAATAATTTCTGTTAAAGTGTCAAAATTTCAAGTTCCCAAGGTTAAATGTGAACTACATGGTATAAAATAAGTTTAAAAACTATACCTCTTTTCATAAAGCATACATAAAGTTTCCTTGATGCTAGATTCTATTAATATAAAGCAGAAAGACACTAAAAGTTAAAAGATTATTTTATCTAATGTTCTGGTTTTCAGTGAAGAAAGTTAATGTTTCAAACTAAAAAAATTTGGAGTAGAAAATTAAATGGAAGGCAATGATAACTATAAGGCAGTACTAGTTCAAAGAAGTTTGGTAAATGTGGGCTAGATAATGCTGTAATTAAATGAAGTCATATGGGACTTCCCTGGTGGCACAGTGGTTAAGAATCCGCCTGCCAATGCAGGGGACACAGGCTCAATACCTGGTCCGGGAAGATCCCACATGCTGTGGAGCAACTAAGCCCATGTGCCACAACTACTGAGCCTGCGCTCTAGAGCAGGGGTCGCCAACCCCTGGTACTGGTCCACAGCCTGTTAGGAACTGAGCAACACAGCAGTAGGTGAGCAGTGGGGGAGTGAGCGAAGCTTTGTCTGCCACTCCCCATTGCTCGCATTACCACCTGAACCATCCACCCCCACCAGTGGAAAAATTGTCTTCCATGAAACCAGTGCCTGGTGCCAAAAAGGTTGGGGACCTCTGCTCTAGAGCCCACGAGCCACAACTACCGAGCCCACACGCTACAACTACTGAAGTCTGCGTGCTCTAGGGCCCGTGTAGCCACAACTACCGAGCCTGCATGCTGCAACTATTGAAGCCCGCGCACCTAGAGCCCGTGCTCCACAACAAGAGAAGCCACCGCAATGACAAGCCCGTGCACCGCAAAGAAGAGTAGTCCCCACTCACTGCAACTAGAGAAAGCCCACGTGCAGGACCCAACGCAGCCAAAAAAAAAAATGAAGTCATATCTAGTTTAATGACTACAGGCCAAAGGAACCAATTAATGGATTAGTAGTGTCAGACCTGAGGGGAGGCTTCAGAGGTGTGTCACAGAACTCTGCCCAGAATTAACCTTGTTAATTATATTTATTAATGAGATGAAGATATTGCAGTTATGCATATTTGTGGATTAGGATTGTTGAATGTTGGGGGAAATGCAAGGATTCAGAAATAACTTAGAGGACTGTGCAGCAGGCCAAGTCTTTACAAGATTATATTCAATAGAAAAATATGAAAAGTTAGGTATGTATGACCCACCTCCCCAGATTAATGGATCCTCATTAAGGAATTTAAAGGACTCATTCCAATTACAGGGCATTGAAAAAGTCCTGTCTTGTTATTTTTTTGTCACTACCTCCCTAGGTGAGGAGTGGGTAATTTGCGCACCTGTTGCCATCCTTGATGTGATAGCAGGCCTTATTTGAACGCTCTGATTTTTTCAAAGTAAATGCTTCAAGCCCTGTAGAACACTCAGCTAAGTACATGGAGGGGGCACTGGAGGCAGAAGAGGCCGGGATAGGCAATGCTTCCTCATGGCAGGTTGCTTACCCACTCCTAAAATACAATGACTAGCATTTTAACTGCAACAACTTTATTCTGCTGGAGCTGGAATTACCTCAGTTGCTGGCACCAGACAAAGAGACAGAGAGTTATGTGGCTTAATGGCGTATGTATAAGAGACTACAAAGTTTTAGACACCTGGAAAGTCAGCTGTGTAATGGGATTTACAGAAAAGTTTAGTCTCTCAAGGCTTCAACACTGAGAACTAACAGATCTCTCTCCTGATTCCAGATCTGCATATCCAATTTTTAATTTACATTTCATTATCTAGTAGATACCTCAAACTTAACATGCTGAAAATTGAGTTTTTGATTCCCCCACATAGACCTCTACACTTGCTCCTCCTGCAATCTTCCACATGTTAATAAATAGTAACTTCATCAGTCTAGTTGTTCAGGCCAAAAAACTGTCACCCTAGACTTTTTTTTCCCACATCTATACCTTAAAGAAAATCCAGCATCCTACCACTTCTCACCACCTCCACCACTAAACCCTACTTTAATTGTCATCTCTTGCCTCAACTATTGTCATAACTTTCCAAATAGTCTCCCTTACAATCTTTCTTCCCTATAGTCTATTCTTCATAGCAGATTTAAAGAGTTAATCTTTTAGAAAATCAAATCATGTCTCCTTTACTCAAAAGCCTCCAGAGGCTTCCCATCTCACATAGAGTAAAAGACACAAAGTACTTATCCTGGATCCACATGGTCTGCCAACTCTCCTCCTTTATCTCTTTCACTTCATCTCCCATCCTTGTTCATTTCACTGCAACCACTCTGGCCTACTTGCTATTCTTCAAATGCACCAAGGACACTCCCACCTCAGGGTCTTTGCATTTGCCATTCATATTACCTGGAATGCTTTCCCCCAGAAATTCATATGCTTCACTTCCTCACTTCATTCAGGACTCTGCTTAAATGTCACGTCAGAGAAATCGTTCTTTACCACCCTATACTGAGTAGTAACTCCCTCAATGGAATAAAAATTGAAGAGTCCAGTTGACTTTTGGCGGTACCAAGAAAATTAAGTGGGGAATGAATCGTCTTTTCAACAAATTGTGCTGGAACAACTGGATGTCCACGTGCGAAAGAAAGCACTTGGACCCCTACTCTATATTATATATAAAAAACTAACTCAAAATTTATCAAAGACCTAAATTTAAGCGCTAAAAACTATAAAAATCTTAAAACATAGGGGTTACATCTTCATGACCTTGGATTAGGTTTCTTAGATATAATACCAGAAGCACAAGCAAGAATAGGAAATATAGATAAAATGGACATCATCAAAATTTTAAACTTTTGTTCTTCAAAGGACACCATTAAGAAAGTGAAGAGACAACCCACAAACTGGAAGAAAAATTTTGCAAATCATCTGTTTTATAAGGCACTTATATCTAAAATATATAAACAGCTCTTACAACTCAGTATTAAAGAGACAACCCAATTTTTTAAAGGGCAAAGGATCTGAATATGTATTTCTTCAAAAAAGATATTCAGATGGGCATAAAAGCACATGAAAAGATGCTCAACATCATTAGCCATCAGAAAAATGCAAACTCAAAAACACAAGGAGATATCACTTTACACCCACTAGGATGACTATAATTTTTTTTTAAAAAAGACAGACAATAACAAGTATTGATAAGGATGTGGAGAAATTGGAATCCTTATACACTTCTGGTGGGATTGTAAAATCATGTAGTTGCTTTGGAAAACAGTCTGGCATTTCCTCAAAATGCTAAACAGAGTTACCATATGACCCAGCAATTCCGCTCCTAGTTTTATACTCAATAGAAATGAAAACTATGTCCACACAAAAACTTGTGCATGAATGTTCATAGCAAGCAGCCTTATTCATAATAGTCAATAGTTGTGAAAACAGTCGAAATGTCCAGCAGCTAATTAATGGATCGACAAAATATCTATACAATAATATATTACTTGACAATTAAAAGGAATAAAGTACTGATACATGTTACAAAGTGGATGAACCCTGAAAACATTATGCTAAATGAAAGAAGCCAGTCCCCAAAGGACCACATATTGTATGGTTTCATTTATATCAACTGTGAAGAATATATAATCCAAAGTGACAGAAAGTGGTTGCCTGGGGATGAAGGGAGAGAGGAATGCAGTAACAGTGCCTGACTTGTAGGCGCTCAGTAAATATAGCTGACTGACAGAATGAATGGAACTTAAAGCTTCTGATTCTTTTTCATACCTTCTTATCTATGAAGACAACAACAAGGACCTAATGTATAGCACAGGGAACTATATTCAATATCTTGTAGTAACCAATAATGGAAGAGAATCTGAAAAAATATATAAACTGAATCACTTTGCTGTAAACCTGAAACATTGTAGATCAACTATACTTGATTAAAAACTTTTTTTAAATAAACAAAACTATAAAACAATTCTTGGGCTTCCCTCGTGGTGCAGTGGTTAAGAATCCGCCTGCCAATGTGGGGGACATGGGTTCGAGCCCTAGTCTGGGAAGATCCCACATGCTGCGGAGCAACTAAGCCCATGTGCCACAACTACTGAAGCCCACATGCCTGTAGCCCGTGCTCTGCAGCAAAGAAAAGCCACCGCAATGAGAAGCCTGTGCACCACAATGAAGAGTAGCCCCCACTCGCTGCAACTAGAGAAAGCCCGTGTGCAGCAACAACGCAGCCAAAAATAAATAAATTTTAAAAAAACAATTATTTTGTGGATGTTGGGGGTAGGAATTTATTAATTAATTTATTTATTTTTGCTGTGTTAGGTCTTCGTTTCTGTGCGAAGGCTTTCTCTAGTTGTGGCAAGCGGGGGCCACTCTTCATCACGGTGCGCGGGCCTCTAACTATCGCGGCCTCTCTTGTGGAGCACAGGCTCCAGACGCGCAGGCTCAGTACTTGTGGCTCATAGGCCTAGTTGCTCCGCGGCATGTGGGATCCTCCCAGACCAGGGCTCGAACCCGTGTCCCCTGCATTAGCAGGCAGATTCTCAACCACTGCGCCACCAGGGAAGCCCTCCAAAAAATAATTCTTTACCGAGTTCACCTAGCACTGACCCTTATCCAGATAGATAAGCTAGATAAAGATAAGATCTTTTTTTTTTGTTGTTCCAACCAGGTACATTTGAATCATGTTGGTGTACAGAAAAAGAAATTACCTAGTAGATTTTATCCTGTTCTCTTTATTCATTTAACAGCTAATTTATGAGTAAGACACTAAGTTCAGTGTTGTGGAGGTTTATTATAAAGAAGTATTACATCATCCTTGCCCTGAAGTTTGCTGCATTATAGTAGCAAGACATGCTGTTAGAAATTTAGTTTTCTATGCATTTGTTATTAAGAGTCCAGTACTGGCATACTGTCAACCCATTTTTTAGTCACATATCCTAAAATAAACTCAAGTTATGATAGTAGCCACAAACTGGCTTACAGTAATTATATTATACACTTGCATTGTGTTTTACAAATTTATATTTTCATATAAATTATCTTCTTATCCTTACAAAACTACTTGTGAGGACCAAGGAGGTTGAGATTTACTCAAGATCATATATCAGTTAAGTGGCAGAGCCAGAACTTGACTTCACATCTAATGGCTTCCCAGTGTTCTGTTTTCTCTGACATCTAGCCTCCATCTCTTATGTTGGTTAGTTTAGAAAATGCACTTATATCTATTATGTTATCTCAGGAATTAAATAGCATAATAGGTAAGTGTGCATGCATTTTTCTAGGTGGGTTAACATGTGGAGAGACTATGATGCCTAGCTTATTGCAGAAAGAACAGTACCAAATCTTCTATATTGTGCCCTTTACTTCATATTTCCCTCTGCTCTTTTCACTAGACTTTGCTATATAGGATTCCTACAAAAATCATATTGCTGAAGGCTCATAATGTTAGTGGTCTCTAATTCTTAAATATTTTCATCTATCATTAAAAATATTTAATGACTGCATAATATTGTGGAGAAGGCATTTGAAAGCGGTGTATGAGAAACTATTCCTGTCCAGAAGGGGCTTTCGGCAGAATAGGTTACATGCATAAAAAGGTACATCTGGGGCTTCCCTGGTGGCGCAGTGGTTGAGAGTCCGCCTGCCGATGCAGGGGACATGGG